ATAATCATATACATTGTATATTGACAAAATAAAAATTTAACGAAAAAAAATAAATAAAAAATAAAAAATAAATAAAATAAAATTCTTGATTTTTTTCAAAATTGATTACATTTTCTCAATTATTTTTTCATTCTGAAGTTTGACCTTTTATTTCTATGCTACTCATGGTTAACCTTTAAATTAAAAAAAAAATCTTAACTTTATAACATATGTTTTCCTAACAACAACAAAAACTACATGCAACTTCTGTTCTACCCAGTACAAGCTCTTTAGCATGTGGGTGACAATACGAAGCAATGCAAATTTTCCTTTTGGTTGTACAGAGAGCTAGGTTTATGGGCATGGGGGCTTCTTGCTGGGCATATTCCCCTCAGTCCAGCTCCACAATACCTTCATATGGATGAAATCCCACTTTATTAAGAGAGTCAGTTTTGTGGATCTAGCTTGAAGGAACCACTGGAGCCTGGTGCTTCCACTTGAGATAAGTACAATTGTACTCATTACAAATTTCTCAAACTTGTTCAAACTTTCAGCCCTTTCTGTCTCTGATCTAGTGATAATACCAGGGTTCTAGTCTATTTCCTACCCTGTACTATTAGTGGTTTCTATAGCTCTGTTGGACTTTATCATCAATTTAATCCCATTTATATATCTTTAAAAATTCCTAAATGTTTTGGACTTACCCGTTTTCCTGCTCTGCTGTTTTATATTTTCATATTTCTTCTATCATCTTAATGTGAGCTTAAGATAAAAGAGATATGAGTACATGCACTTAGTCAGTCGGCTTCCTTTGACTAGAAGTTTACAATTAAAAACATCAGAACAAAAACTCAAAACACACATTAATGAAGATAGTTTTATTGAATTAAAGAATAGAACACATAAAAATAAAATATTTGAGTAAAATTTAATCATTTATTAAAAATTAGAAACTTTAAATATTAGAAAGTACATTTTTAGTGATTATCGAAGCTGTTAACCACTTATTCATTATTTAAAATTTTTAATATTAAGGCAAATAGTTATGCACTGAATCCCCAAATGTGTACAAATAGTAATCAACTAAAGTTTATATCAATTAAAACAAATTAAAGTTCTTACTCAATTGAAGAAATGCTCCTGCATATAAAGAAAAGATAGCACGTGCTTAATTAATGTTAGTTCCCATTCCCCATTTTGTAGTAAAGAATCGCATATTCTCCTCTCACTCTTCTTAGGAAAGCACATGAAAATCCCATCCATACAAAATCTTAAAGTTTTGTCTCCCCTAACATTATTTGATCATAAAATTCTTTGGTCAATGGAACATAAGACTTTTTCAAATTATCTAAGAAGTACAGTGGATCAGAAATTTTCAGTGGATTAAATCCTTCTTCTGTCAACTGGAACTTCTGTAGTTTGAATGTTCCTGTTGTTTCCATTTTTTCCTATAAAATAATTACCCAGATGAGTGGAATCATTTAATACTATTTATAATAGCTATAATATATAAATAAAACATTTAATACTATAGACTGTATTATTTAATCATAATTCTTTTATGTCTAATGATTTCTCTACATTTACTAGTAATAATTTATTATAAGAAATAAAAAATGCCTTGTAGAATGTTCAAATCTTTAGTTTGTTTTACCTGTGAACTTTACTCAAATATTAACTCATTCAATATATAAGAATTATGAGCACAATCAATAAACTGATTACAAGGATGTGTAAAACAAATAGGCTACATCTTCAATTCAATGCCAATACAATATTATGTATAGAGAATTCTGTGAGACACTAAGGAGATAAAAGCTCCAAAAGACAGCTCTAAAAGACAATTTTGTAATATAAGTACACTCAAATCTATTATGCAAGACAAAATACCATAAGAATCAGATGGGTATAGAATGCAATAAAACCTGGGTTCCCAAACCATGCACCAAAGTGCCTTTGGGCACCTCAGTGAATTCTCAAGGGCCCCACAGAATATCTTAAATTTTCAAGGGAAATTCAGTGACATACAAAATCTGTTGGTGACCACTTGCAAATTATTAGCTCAAGGTAGATTTGATATTAGTTTGTGGTACATTCCTTTGCAAAAATGGGTTTTCAGTGGTTTCTGTGATGAAAAGAAAGTACAGCCAAAAACCAGTGTGAAACATGAAATCAGGCTGGCTCTATCCAGTGCAATCCGGTATGACAGGTGTGCAGTGCCCAATTTGCATCTCCTTAATTGTGGTTATTTGAAAATGAAATGGAAAGTGTCTTTTTTCATTTGACTCATATGCATTATTTTTCAAATGGTTACTAATTTACTAGACCTAAACACTTATGAATTCGTTTTCACTTAATTAGTGAATAAACAAATACTTAGGTATTTGTTTTGACCCAAGAGTTCCATGATAAAAGTCATTGGGACACTGAAGGTGCTGTGAATCTAGAAAGTTTAAGAATCTCTGCTTTAAGGGGTTTAGAGGAGGTCAGAATATATCTCTTTGTGGGGGTCTCAGGCATGGAAAAACAACCTTGTTGCAAGATGACATGCGGTGACCCATATAATGTTCTGTGAGTAACTTGTCCATTTTTATTCATCCTTCTGTACTAATTCGAGTCAATTTCACTGTGAGCTCCCTTCCTCGATCTCCTCCCTTCCCTCTCCCCACCTCTGTGACCCAACACTGTCATCCCAATTTAGATGCTGCTGTGTAGACACACATATCCTTCTTCTCTTTTTTGAGAAAATTAGAAGCTCACTGTATTTATAAAATTTAATGTTCTTTCTTTTTATAAATTTAATATTCTCCTAGGTCATGTAATTTTATAAGTTCTCACTAATTATATTTTAATTAATTTTACCCTTACTCTTGAACTTAGATTATCAAAATTTATACTACTATAAATAATACTTAAAAGAATACCTGCATATATAACATTTGTGCATCTTTGATTATTTTCTAAGGATAAATTTCTGGAAGTGAAATTACTAAGTCGAAATACATGCAAACTCTTAGGAATCTTATCATGTATTACCAATTTATTTTCTAGAGAGGTTAAAAAAATTTGTGTTTCCACAAGTAGAGTGAAAGGACCAAGTAAGTTTTATTCCAGGCATACTGAGGATTGTTACATTTTTTAAATTACTGTAAATTATTGGCAAAAGGGCACTTTTAAAAAATTTGTGCTAAACAGAGTTTTAATAAGATAGTTGTTTTACTCATTTTGTCAGAAGTAACTTTTACTTTTGCATTGCTTTTATCAGATCATTTATTACATGATTCATTTATTAAATAAATATTTTGACTGCTAAGTGTCAGGCTTTTGGCTAACTATAGCAAATATTGTAATAAACATAGTGGTCATGATCCATGTTCTTTCTTAGTGCTTAATCATCCTAACATATTTTCTAAATTTGTGCAAGGCTGATCTAGTCTTCCAGAGAAGTCCTATTCCAAAATATTTCTTCTGCTTACTGAAAGTGAATTTTAAATTGCCCTAGGGGAAAACTGCTTAAAATATTATTTGTTCTATCAAACTTCTACTCCACCAAAATATATTACATATGGGGTGGGGGGGAGAGGGAGAGAGGGATCTGAGTTACAAGAAGACACCATGAAGGATCCTTGCGGTGTTGGGATGGTTTACATTTTTATTGTGGCCATGGGTGTATGAAGCTACACAGGTGATAAAAGTGTATAGAAAATACACACATACACACACACACACAAATGAGTACAAGTAAAACAGGAGAAATTTTAATAAGATGGGTGAATTATATTAATATTCTGGTTGTGATAGATTTGCAAAATGTTACCTTTAGGGAAAACTGGGTAAAGGACCTATAGGATCTCTGTATTATTTCTTACGACTTCATGTAAATCTACACCTATCTCATTAAAAATTTCAATTAGAAATATATTACTTCTGCTTCACATTCACATACCTTTAATATTTCATAGGATTGCTATGAAAATAATCTGAGAAAATGCATGTAAAAGCTCTTCAAATTAAAAAATATGCAAATGAAACATGTATTTATGACAGTTAAGATAATATGTCCTATTGAACGAGCAGTTACTTGGCTATAAGGATTGCTTGGCCAAAGCTTTAAAAATGAATATGACACCATCTGTTGCTCCATCAGAGATCTAACGGTGACATAACAAATGTATTCAGAAAAAGACCGTGTTATTGGATATTAAGAGAAGAGTAGTAACTTTGAGAAAGTATAGTTGAGGTACAATATTAAATAAATGAATGGTTGAGTAAATGAATAACTAAGGTGACCCAATAGCTGAGTAAATTTATTTTCTTTTTACTATACTTTATACCAGTAACCTAACAAGAGAGAGCCCTCATCCCAAAACAAATTAACTCAGAATTTCCCAAAATACAAGGTTGGCGGGTGAGGTGACTAGATAGAATGACAATAAAAATTAAAGCAGGATTGCTTAAAGCCAGTTGTCTTTAGGTTCTGAACACATCCTGCAGACACTTTAATGTGTTTAGTTTGGTGAAACCTTACTCTAGGCACATAGCACCAAATGTCTTCACGAGACACGTGTAAGATGTGGTTTTGGCTTACCACCATCACTAGGACCATCATTTTGCTCTGAGGTCCTGACTGAACAGGAAGAGAGCAATTTTATAATTAGGAGAAAGATAAATATATCTAGCATTTCATCATGCTCCTTTCTATAATTAGGCTTCAAATATGGCATCGATTAACGTCAACTCTACATCCTCATGCTTTTCACCAGTCTCAACATTTTTTAATATACATAAAATGCACACATTATCTAAAGGATACAATATTATCATGCAATTAAACCACCTCCCTGGTTTCTTGCTCTTAAATTTCATAATAAATTCAGATGGTAAAATTACCTGAATTCTTAAAAATCGTGGATAGGCATAAACTGGTAGACATGCTACAACTTGTTCATAAACTTTGTCCAAGTCCAAAGACTTATTCGGTTTTAAAATAATAGAAGCCATTCCTGCTTTTCCTTCATAACCTGAAAAAAGTTTGAAATAGAGTCAATTTTATAAGTACTACATGAATTTTTAAAAATAATACCGTTACTTAAATATTGTCACAAGTAGAGACAGTATCTATTGCAGTGATAACAATGCAACAGCAGCATAAATGAGCATATGATTTACTCCCTAGAAATAACTTAAGAACAAAGAAGCCCAGAGTCTATCCCTAATTGTCTACACTACAGAAATTAAATTGATGGAACGGAAAACACCAAGAGTTATTCATATTTGCATCCTACCACAGCATAAATGAGCATATGATTTACTCCCTAGAAATAACTTAACAACAAAGAAGCCCAGAGTCTATCCCTAATTGTCTACGCTACAGAAATTAAATTGATGGAACGGAAAACACCAAGAGTTATTCATATTTGCATCCTACCACCACTAACACAAATATTAAGAAAAAAATTATTTAAAGGCAAATATATTCCCGGAGAATTGTACATTTTAAGCATCAATGCATAAAATAAAGGCCATATTTTTAAGTAAAGAAATTAGAAATTGGTATTTTCATAATTAATTCCACAGTTAGTTTATTGCTTATCATGCCACCTATGGTTCTTTACAGAGGATCAAAGTCTTGGAGCTTTTTCTCCAACACCCAGTGGCTGTTTCTCAAATAAACATCCTCTTCCAAACACTCCTACCCCCCGGTATCCCCTGCACCTACAAGAATTAGCTGGAAAATACTGTCATTTGTAAAAAAAAGACAGTGAAGAGGAATGGCTGTCCTTCAAGTTGGTTATTTTTCTGTGCCATTTTCACCATCATGAGATGATCCTCATAGGCATATTTATTTATAATTTTTTAGGGGCATATTTATTTATTTATTATTATTGAAACATAATTGATTATACATATTTGCAAGAAACAGAGTTGACTATCAACACTTGTATACAATATATGATGATCAAATCAAGATTATTAGCATATTCATCATTACAAATATAATCATCCTTTATGTCCATTAACCAAATTTCTCAATAACCTCCTCCCTCTCCTCTTTTCCCACCTCTAGTAACCAAAATTCTGTTCTCTCCTTCTGAAAGTTCAATATATTACTGTGATTGCTGTTTTTTCTCTCTTTCCTTCTATTTATTTATTTATTTGTTCTTCAGCTCCCACTTATGAGGGAAGACATGTGGAATTTCTGTTTCTGTGTCTGGCTTATTTCACGTAACGTAATTTTCTCCGAGCTCATCCATGTTGCTGCGAATGGCAGATTTTCATTCTTTTTTTAGGCTGAGTAGTATTCCACTGTGTATGTATATGCCACATTTTCCTTATCCAGTCATCTGTCGATGGACATTTAGGTTGGTTGCATATTTTGGCTATTGTAAATAGAGCTGTGATGATATGGGATAGCAGGTATCCTTTCAACATGATGATTTCCATTCCTTTGGGTATATACCCAATATATGCATATTTAGAAAGATAATGAGGCCATACGAATTTAAAAATAATTTTTTAAAAAGACGCACTCCTAAGTCAGTGTTATTAAACATTTGAACTAGAACATGCTCCTGTTCAGTAGTATATACAAACACTGGTCATGAGGAGAAAAACAATATACTATTCAAAAGTTCTTAAAAAAAAGAAAAAAGCTGGCCAGTTAGCTTAGCTGGTTAAAGCAGGTGTTGCTAACACCAAGGTCAAGGGTTTGGATTCCCATATTTGCCAGAAGCATCGAGAGAGAGAGAGAAAAAGAGAGAGAGAGAGAGAGAGAGAGAGAGAGAAGCTCTAACTATTTTCAAGCATCAAGTCACTGCCCAGAGTTTTCCAACTCTGCTTAAAAATACACACAAACATTAAAATTCAGCTGGTACTTTCCCCCTAAAGTGACCATGAAGTATGTTAGCTTGGTCAAAGACATTACTTGCCAAAAGAAGACAAGATATTTATTTTAATGTATAAAAAATTAAGGTGTTGAGTTAGTAAAATCATTGCAAAACTGAAGAGCAGTGGCACATTCTATTCTGAGAATCCTTCCAAAATCTGAAATATATTCATACCTGACACAGCCACACCATAGACATTTGTCTCCTGTATAAAATCCAACATTCCAATCACATCAGCAACCTCTGCAGTTGAAACATTTTCTCCTTTCCATCTAAATGAAAAACAAATTCCAGTTAGTGCGCCTGTGTTTAAAGAACTAGGTGCCCAGTTTTAGTTTTAGTGCCTTGCCTTTGGCTCTGTGCAAGTACCTAGTGACCAAAAATAACTATAGCTTTCAAAACAAAAGGCATTTCTAAGGAAGCACTTTATTGGCAATTCAACAAAATCAGCATCTGTTTTTCAGTCAAAGTTGATTACTTTATCTATGTCTCATTGGTATAAATTGCTTACTGTAAAATGTTTCATAATATATCACAAAAATAAAATACTGAAATAACGATTATATTACAAAAATCTGTATTTTGTAAATAACAAGTAGGTACAAAACATTCCCTATCTCTGGTGATAGGGATATCAAGAATTAGAAGAAAAGTGATAGTTGTCTTTTAGTGAAGTGACCCACTTTAATTTCTAGGTATTAACTCTTTTGGCTCCTTTAATGGGCTCCGAAAGGGCCATGAAAAACAATTACATTGCATAATGCTGAATATACTAATTATCCTGATTTGAACATCACATATTGCATACAGGTAATGATATTCAACTCTGTACCCCCCAGAAATGTACAACTAACTATGTTACAATAAAATAAAATAATTCTATATAAAGTAAGCTTATAACATGGTACAAGAGGGCAAGGAGATAGAAGTTATTTATTCATCCAAGCATTTATTGAATGCTTACTGAATGGCCTTCACTGTTCTACAGTCCTTGACTAGTGGAAGCAGAATAATTTCATGGGCCTAAAATAATTTTAGAAAATTAAGAAAGGAAATGTAAGAAGAAAAATTTTGCTGTTTCAATATTTTTATTATTAGATCAAAAATTGGATCACATTTGACCTAATTGGTTTTCTGTTTTAACCCTACCATTTAGACTTTACATATGTCTGCCAGTTTTATATTCTAAAAATAAAAGCTCACTGATTTGGACTAAACTGATTCATTAAAACAATTATAAAATTTAACATCAAAATTTAACTTCTGGTTCAGTCTAGAAACAGATGGCCAATTAAATTTTAAATGAGGAGACATTATGGAGATAAAGGACTCTGTCTGCCCTGAAAGCTAAAGAGCATGTGGTCTCTGATGTTTCCATAGAAGTACGGTTCACAATTCCAGAACAAGCCGTGCATCCCATGATATTTCATACCTGAAAGTGTCTCCAATACGATCCCAAAAATAAAGGAAATTCTCCCGATCTTGGACCATTAAGTCTCCTGTGTTAAAGTAAACATCTCCCTTCTTAAAAACATCAAAAAGCAATTTGTTTTTTGTGTGCTTGTAAGACCCAGCATAACCAAAGAAGGGATTCTTTGCATTTACTCGAGAAATGAGAAGTCCAGGTTCTCCTGAAAGAGAAAACGGCATTTTGGCAGCCATCTGATTAAAACTATTGTTATACACACCATGCATGTATCTAAATCATATCTGGCCAACACAATATGGTGATGCTCATCTTACTTTCCTCTCCATTTGTTTTTATTATATTTGACCTCACTTACTCTTGGTGCCTACATCTGGCACATCCTTTCACAGATTATCACAAACACAAAATACTTTGGAAAACAACAACAACAAAAAATTAAATGTAAAGGAAAGGTGTATTAAATTGTTTTCACTTCCTGGTAGATAGACCTATGGCTATTTTTGTTTTGGATTATGTAGACATTGACACAGATAATATTGAAAACTATAGGTACACACACACACACACACACACACACATATATATACATATAAAATAATCCTAATAATAATTTTAGTAAAATGATGATAGCAATATTTACTGAGCACTTACTATGAGCCCTTTGCAACTGTCACATTGTTTATTCTTCATAGAAATTATTTGAAATTGATATTATAATCCCTAAATTCGCATGGAAGGAACAAGAGCCCAGAGGGATGAAATGAATTGCCAAAATCAGTGAAAGAAATGAACCTAGGACTAAAATTCAAGTCTCTACGATTTTGTGGTAAGGTTTCTGTACAATACTATTTCTGATCCAGTTACCATGTTATTAGAAATTTAAGAAAGTGGTTTATTCCTCTAAAGTGCTATTTTGGAAATCCTCCATGTGAAAGAGAAGAGACTTTGAGAAGATCTCTTATACCATGATACTTATTAGTTTTGCTAAATTTAGACACATTATCTGAAATAATTTTCCAATCGAACTTATTCAAATTAATCAAGATTCTGCTCAGTAGCCTGCAAGATAAAAACTACTTCTAAGAGAAGGTGAGAAAAGAGAACAGCGATCACTGCCCCAGAAGTCTTCAAGGCCAT